TCTGATCAGGCCGGGAAGAATGGAGGCTGGGGTGGGGGTGGGGGGGGTCTCACAGGACATGTGACCATGTCACCTGGTGCTGGAATCCACCTGGGGCTTTTCCATTGAGAAGGAGGGGTGGGGACCCAGAGAGAGGATTCCCGCCTTGGGCCAAAGCTATAAAAGGGGGAAACAGAACAAAGGGGGCTGGAGTCATGAGAAATCCCCAAGTTACCACCTGAGCTGGAACAAGGACGGTACCGGGGAAAGGATGGGCCCAGACTAGGACAGAGTCTAGTCTGTGAAAGAAGCTGATTGGAACATCTCCGAGGGTGAGATTTACCTGTATTCAGTTTCTTAATGGATTAGGCTTAGACTTGTGTGTTTTGTTTTATTTTGCCGGGTGACTGACTTTGTTCTGTCTGTTATTACTTGAAACCACTTAAATCCTATTTTTTATACTTCATAAAATCACTTTTGTTTATTAATTATCCCAGAGTAAGTGATTAATTCCTGGGGGAGGGGTGAACAGCTGTGCATCTCTCTCTATCAGTGTTATAGAGGGTGGACAATTTATGAGTTTACCCTGCATAAGCTTTATACAGAGTGTAGCGGGGCAGTCACTCTGCTCCATCTCAGAAAGGGTTAAAAGCCAGCTCTTGGAGAGGGCTGGGGCTGAGAGCCAATCAGGAAAAGGCTGGGAGGCAGCCAATCAGGGCCAGGCTGGGCCCTATAAATGGGTTGCAGGGCCAGAAGGCAGTCAGTCTGTCTCCAGCCTTGGAGAGCTGGACGTGGCTGTCTGAAGGAGAGACGGGTGCCCTGCCTGGCGCGGGGCTGGGGGGGCAGGAGGAGCTCGGGCTTTCAGGGCTGGGGGAAGCAGCTAGGGGAGGAACAGGCAGCAGGTCCAACCGCTTTGCCAATGATAAGTGGCCACAGTCGTACGTCAGCAGCCCCCCCTCAGCTCCCCCGCCCTGCTCCCAGCACCTCCCGCCCACCAGCAGCCCCCCCTCAGCTCCCCCACCCTGCTCCTAGCACCTCCCGCCCACGGGCAGCCCCACCTCAGCTCCCACGCCCACCGGCAGCCCCCCCTCAGCTTCCCCGCTGCTCCCAGCACCTCCCGCCCACCGGCAGTCCCGCAATCAACACCTCTCCCTCCCTCCCCACACCTCCGCGGTGTGCAGGAGGCTCGGGGGTGGGGGGAGGACCGAGGGCATGGCAGGCTGAGGGGAGGGAGCAGAAAGGAGGGAGTGGGGGCAGGGCCTGTGGCAGAGCCAGGGGTTGAGCAGTGAGCCCCCCCCCGGGCACATTGGAAAGTTGGCGCCTGTAGCTCCAGCCCCGGAGTCGGTGCCTATACAAGGAGCCGCATATTAACTTCTGAAGAGCTGCATGGGGCTCCGGAGCCACAGGTTGGCCGCCCCATGGCTAGATGAAGACTGGCAGTGGGTCACTGAGGCGAGGTGGGCTTAGGGGATTGGGGTTCCCTGGGGAGGACCCCAAGTGTGGGAGTACTCCTGTGGGCAGTACCCAGGAGAAGGGGCACCGCGGGCCGGGAGGGACGCGGGGCCTGAAGTCCAGTGGTGGAGACCAGGAAGCAGGTACCGGTAGAGAGACATTGGACAGCAGGAGGCGCTCCGCGGCT